CCCGTGTTGGGGATTAGTTGTCGCTTTTAATACTACCGTTTTTCCGAAGCACATCTTAAGGAAGCTTGGTCTTTTCATGTTGAACTGAGTCAGACCCAGACTCCTTTCAGAAGTGCTGTGGAAGGTCCCAACATGGCCTGTGTCTCAGATTCCATTTTGAAGTTTAGCTGTAAACCCTCCACTAACCACAGCCCCCCTCACACCAGGCCCCGACATCCACAAACGCCTCCTTTCACTGTGCACCTTCACCCTGTCCATGAGAAGCCCGTCAGGACTGCCCAGCTCTGAAGATGCTGTCCAAACACCCCAGGTGCCTTTAGTCTAAGAACAGGAACAGGGCGGCTCTGCTGCTTCCTCGCTCCCTCTTTCTTCACGAGGCTGCGAGCACCCCTCCTTCCCTTTCTCTCTCTTTCTCTATCCCTCTTTCTCTTTCCTCTTCCCTCCCCCTTTAATAATAAAACTTTCCACGTGGAAAAAAGGGGGGGCACCCCTCAGGTCACATTCAGCAGCAAGTGGCTGATTCTCGGAGTTCCAAGATTAAGGTCAGCCAAATCTTTTAAATTGAAATGCACATTGCAGCGGACATCTCGGCATATTGCAGCTGACATGTGAGGTAAGCTGCCCCTGATGAAGTATCACACCCAGGGACTGATTAGAAACTGCAGAATACTCTGAACTGAATTCATCACCAATCTCTTTGTCTTCACATTCCACTTAATTCCTGATATTGAGCGGAAATCATTTATTTTAAAAAGTAAAACATTAACCAGTTCCTCTTGAGAAAAGAAGACCCCCAGTGTCAGAGCTGAACAGACACTCCAGCTGAACAGAGCTCTCCAGACCCCGTTGCTTACAGGTTTCTTCCTGTAGTTGCCCCCTGCTACCACCTCTTTCATCTGAGGAGAGTGCTTTAGTTTTTTGAAAAGGGTCTCTCCATGTGATCCTAGTCGGCCTGGAACTCGCTCTGTAAACCAAACTCACGGAGATCTGCCTGCCTTTGCCTCTGAATCCTGGAATCAAAGATGTGTACCACCACACCTAGCCCACCTTTTTTAATTGATTTTTATTAAAATGTAATTATGGAGCAGAAGAGATGCATCAGAGGTAAAGAGCACTCGCTGCTCTTTTAGAAGACCTGGGTTCAATCCCAGTACCTACATGGTGGTTCACAGTCATCCATAACTCCAGTTCTAGGGGAGTCAGTGCCCTGTTCTTACTTTTGTGGGTGCTAAGCACACGTGTGGTCCACATACATACATACAGGCAAAACACTGACATAAAATAAAGTGAAGAATGTAATAAAAAAAAACATAATTGTTTCCTCCCATTCCTCTTCTCCCTCCAACCTTCCCATTCTCTCTCAAATCCGTGGCCTCTTTGTTTATAGTTGTTACTGTTACAAGTACATGTAAGCACGTAAATATGTAATTACAGCCTGCTGATCGCTTCCACTCCTGCTTGCAGTAAGTGATTTCAGAGCTGACACCTTGGTATTGGAGATCAATCAGGGGACTCCTCTCCGGGGAATGACTGCTCCCACCCTTAGCTTCCTGAGTTTTTTTGTATAAGGACGGGACACCATGTTTCCCCGTTCCCCTTTAGCCTGTCTATGGTGCTGTCCTTGTTCAGGTCTTGCTTAGGCAGCCATGTTGTTGAGGTATCCTGTCCTTGTTCAGGTCTTGCTTAGGCAGCCATGTTGTTGAGGTATC